TGGATGAAGGATAGTTGGATGGATGAAGGATGGTTGGATGGATGAAGTATGGTTGGATGAAGTATGGTTGGATGGATGAAGGATGGTTGGATGGATGAAGGATGGACGAGCTCTCAGTCTGAACCTACAGAAATTAACGGGGAAGTGTTGAAAACTTCTCGAGACTTTTCAACCGTTTTTAACTTTAAATCAAAAATCTTAAACTAAACTAAACCATTGATCGTTCATCTCTGACCGGCAGGGACTAACGTAAAAGCATGTGCTTGTTTCCCGTCTGTTAGCAAAATATCCCTTTGAATCAGCAAACTGCTTGTTAGGAAACAGAGTTCCTGCAGTTTTTCAAATCTCAGCAATAATCCTCGTCGTCCGGAACGTTCTTCTATCGTACAGTCTCGTAAACGTTCTCTTGTCCCGCCCAGAACCTCTGATCCGCTCAGGACATCTTTACGGGACTTGGCACACATTCACGTCATCACCAGGCAGAGCGTCTCGTACACGCTTCACCACCCCGGCTCTAAGGTCAAGGTCATAAATCAAGGTCAAAGGCAATAGTGCACTCTTGCTATATTCAGACCCAGGTCTTCAGGGAGTATTTTTGAGTACATTCTAGGCTTTAGAGAAACTAGTTTGGGAGATTTATATCTATTTAAAACCAACTGAAGTTTAGCGTTAGTCGTTCACGTTAACCGAACCTTTTCACCTTTTCCTCACGTTGACGTGTTCATGTGCAATCAAGATGTTCCCTTCTCGTAAATGTACAAATGCAAACTGACTTGAATACAAAAAGGGACTCTGTCAGTCAGAGGGGGCGTTGACCCTCCATCTGTCAGTCAGAGGGGGCGTTGACCCTCCATCTGTCAGTCAAAGGGGGCGTTGATCCTCCATCTGTCAGTCAAAGGGGGGCGTTGACCCTCCATCTGTCAGTCAGAGGGGGCGTTGACTCCCCCTCTGTCAGTCAGAGGGGGCGTTGACTCCCCCATCAATGTGACTGTGAGCTTACAGGCAATAATTACTCACTCCTTTCGTCTACGCCTTTTCCTGTTTGTGTGATTCTACTTCCTGTTCAGCTTTTGTCCATCAGATGTGTTAGCTTTAGCTTTTAGCTCCTTTATGCAACCTAGATGGCCTTTGTAACCGCACTGTTCGTCTGTAAGGACCAAGAAATGATTTTATTTGTTATTTCTTGTGCCCTAACATCAGCTGCACACAGTTTCTGTCCAGATTAAAAGAGGATTAGTATAATTTCTTTTGGGATTTTTTAAATGTTCAAATTTTTGATGAATACTAAATTATTGTCAGATCTAGTAAGAGATCATCCAGAATCATGAACGAGTCAAAGTGAATTTAAACTTTGGTGATTAATTGAAGCTACGCTTCGTCATTTTTATTGAGGCTACATCTAAAACCGACGCCTGAGCAGGTTCACGGCTGCAGCTTTAAACCTGGAACGTGAGATCTTATGGAAGCGTTTGGAAACTGCTGTTACATTTTGTTTTGTGTTTTTGTTTTTCTCCTCGTTGTTTCGCGCAGTTTCGTCTCGTGAGCCATAAAAACGTGTTGCGTTTAAACTCGTCAGCGAGAAATCAGATGCTGTTTGGTTTGTTTAGGAGGAAGAAGAGACTGGTTTTTGTAATTAAATACACTGTTTAAAGTTCTGTTTAAAGTTCTGTGTAAAGGTTCTGTTGAAAGGTTCTGTTTAAAGTTCTGTTACAAAATGAAGAGTTTAGTTGTCCTTGGCAGCTCGTACCTCCTGGACGAAGATGAAGTGAATGTTTAATTTTTGCCGTTTGTCTTTATTTATTCGTCTTATTTATTTGTGCCGTGGAGCTCAGCAGGTGGCCGCTCCAGAACTAGACTAAAAGGGTCCAGACCCAAACTTTCAGCATCAGATCTTCACCTGGACAGGTGCTGGCTCTGATTTTAGATCATCACTTGAATATTAACTTGCTTGTTGGGCAGTTGATGAACAGTTAATATCTTACGTGTCGTAGATAGCTCTTTGATTAGCCTCGGTTTGCAGAAAATTGGTTTAATTAGAACCTGGTTGCCATGACAACAGCTGGCCTGAGTGACGCAGAGACCACAATGCATTGCTTCCGCTTGAACGCTGCTCCGATCTCGAATCTTTTCCAGATGCACGTACAGATGCTGTTGGAAACATTTTAATATCGCTGCCAGTTTCAGGTTACGCAGAAAACTCGATATGTTTCTGCTTGAAGTGGCCCCAGACCACACGAGTCCTACAGCTAGCTGCCTCTGTTAGCATCAGTCGCGTTTAGAAGACGTCTGACGGGAACATAGAAGTTGAAGTAAACAACGGTTTAAGTCCCGCCCCCTGCTGTAGACAAACAAGCATTGCCCTCCATAAATGATAAAAACATTTTAATTTATTTCATCTGTATGTTTAAATCTTCATTTTTCTAAAGCTTTTAGCCATAATTAGTTATTTGTTGATTAAAAGGAAGGTCATGTGACATCTCGACTGTGCATGTGGGAGTAGGCGGGACTTAAAGCTCCAAGTGTCCAGATTCTGCTTCCAAAAATCCAAGATGGCAGCTCCAGCAAAACCAAGTCCTGCTGGGTTCAGGTCCACAGAACTCTTTTGCCAAAACGAGTCGCAAGGATTTTCTTTTTCAATAACGAGTTAATATTTTTAAAGTTTCCATCTCAAAATCTTAAAAAAAAAAAAAAAATTGCAATTTGGTGGTTTATCACCTGGTAACAAACTGGTTTTGTTTGAAAACTGGATTTTTGTTGGGAATTCCAGCTCCATATTTAACAAAGGGGAATCCCCGCGCATCAAAATGAAGCCAAACATTATACGAAGGGATTTCCCGGGAGACAGCAGAGAAAAAATATCTGTTTTTCCAAACTAATGAAACGTCCGTCCAAAGGCGGACGTGTTGCGTAAGACCTCAGTCCGTTTGTAAACTTTCTCTGGTCCCGCCTGTAACTTCTGATCTGAAACTTCATACGCGTATGCATCATCGCTAAACAGAGTGCTGCATACTCA